TGTTTGTTTGAGCAGGAAATCCCTCTGAAGAGGATAGGCGAGACACTCAATTGGTCTTATTCGGCAGTCAAAAGAATTGCAAAAAACCTGAGCAATAACGAAAATTACGAGCGAGATTTCAAAACCGCTTATGAGAAGAGAAGGTCGAAACAAACATCGGAAACAGCTAAGCAGCTTGTTGCTGAGATGGTCAATGCTCAAAGCGAGATGACCGAGAGAGGAAGCGTTCAGGAATTTGGGATCTTGCAGGTGCAGACGTCACAGTCCACCGTTTCAAAAATCATGAAAAAAATCAATTACTCGAGAGTGCGGTTGTCATTGGTGCCTGTAGAAAGAATTACACCCACATCTCATAAACATCCGGAGAATTTATGTGAATGCAATTGCCTTGGTGCCCGACGAAAATATTACGATGCATACAGGGGTCTATATAAATGCATACAGGGGTTTATATAAATGAATACAGGGGTCTATATAAATGCATACAGGGGTCTATATAAAATAAAACCCCTGTAAGACAGAATAAGACCAAAATGGCGCAATCTCAATGTACCCGCGCCATTTGCGATACCTCTTCATTTCTGGTTGTCTACGGAGACGAGGTAACCACTTAAAGACGTGTCAGCTTCGCATAGCCAGCCTTGTATTGTACTTATAGAACGTATTTTTATTAAACCATAGGTTACAGTCCCAAATTTCGCACGGACACAGCTCGTTACTGTATTATCATGGAAAGTGGTCATTAAATACCTGGCAAGAATTCAGCCTATTTAATCATTCATGACCGACTAACTGCAGCCCAAATTTCTGTCTATGACCGTAGACATCCAACATACTAATCTCCTCCAAGTTCAAAAATCAACTTCTGATTCTAGAATAACTCCGATAATTTTGCCATATTACGCTACAGATCCATTGACTCCTACGCCGAGGACCACGGAAAGGTGTACAACTGTCGACCAGTCGTAGCAATCTTCTATGTCGCCTACATTGTTGTGGTGGCCTTCTTCATGGTCAACATCTTCGTCGGTTTTGTCATCGTTACCTTCCAACAAGAGGGTGAACAGGAGTACAAGGGTTGTGAACTGGATAAAAATCAGGTAAATTAGACACTTGCAAGAGTTTTGACGGTGGAAAGTGACTCTCCTGCTCCTTTCCTTGATTAACTGTCGTGAGGACTATTACCTTGGAAACCATGCCATGACTGCCCGTCTTTTTTCCAGCCCTCATGCATTTTTTTATCATTTGTGCTTGAGAATAAACAAAACCCGGGTTGTTTTTTGATGTGCAGGGACTTAAAGTGCAGTGCACGCCTTCTCCCCTTTGTGAAGGCAAGGGTTATATTTAGCAGTAAAATTGCCGAATTTATATTTATGAGCTGCTAAAGGAGTGTTTCCGAGAATCACCTGATTGCACCCTGTCGCATAACTTGTGGGATACCCACCTACACATAATCTGCTGTGAGTCATTTGTAGAAGGATGTCATGTGATATACAGGTCAGAAAGTAGTTCTGAAAATTGAGTCGTGAAAATG